GCTATCACTTCCTTTGATATTTACAACTGTATATGGTAGGGCTCTTGCCTTAAATCGTGTTGAGGAAGAACATTTTTTTCCAAATCAATTCTAGTAGTAATTGATTATTAACATTTATTTTCAAGAAATTGTGCATTTTTTCTCCAAAATAATGCTTTTGAACATTTAATATGTTGAAATTCATCAAAAGATTGCACTAAGCATCTAAGACTGTCTACAACCGCATCATTTCTACTGAATTCATAAATTTTACAAATTTGTTATGAAGGATTTAGGACCTTTTTGAATGAAAGAGATTTCTATTGAGCACCCTTATATTGAAATATAATGTATAATAAAACTTAACTGTCTATCAACAACAAAAAAGATATTAGTGCTTTTGATTGAATGCAAAATGCGATACATAAATATAATTGATTTTTCAGTTTGTATATAGCAAAAAAATCCAATAAAGTGTGCTGTATGGGACAGATTAATGTTAATGACAAACAACACAACAAGGAAAAAGAATTAGAAATAAACATTCAATTATTGAAGAGGTGTGTCTTCAAGTCCTTTTTGAAAGAGTCAATTAAAGTGGAAAAGTAGTCGATTGAAGTGGAAAAGTAGTCAAAAGAAGGAAAGATACATATGTAGTGCATTTCATTCCTGTTTGTCAGATCCGCATATTCATCTAAAACATCAATTTATGTCAAAATTGGATTTAGTCCGTTTTGGAATTGAGCTGTTCGTACACTTCCTGAGTGCATTTTACATGGTTAGCCTCATTAATTTGTCCACAACATGTCGGGTGAGTATGCTCATTAGGGGGACACCAGGAGTGGGTTGTCTAAGAGCTCCCAGACCAGCTAGGGTCCTTCAATTACCTACGTATGTACTTGTTGAATCCATTGGCTGAAAGCACCAGGGGCGATATTGTTGATGCTACTTAACCCACTGAATGTTAAGCTCCAGATAACTCTAACTGGAGGTCTAAGCACCGGGTGTGTTACAGTCACCATTTATTATCAGGTGAAATAATCGAATAGAGGAAAAAGTGGCACTTGTGTTCAGATTGGTGGGCTATTCAAAAAGTCTGAATATTCGAATATTATTCCAAGGTCTACATTATAGTTATAACAAATAAAATTCTATCCAAAGGTTTTATGTTCTGTTTAGCATTTTCGGGATTGTGATGGAATTTCATTCAAAATAGTTTGGAACAACAAGATATATAATACAATCAAGTGAATTATTAATCTTTAAAGAAAATAGTGAGCTTCACTTTATAGCATTTACCCTGTTCCCTACATGTTTTTAAAAACAGCATTATTATCCCTTCAGTAATTACAAATAAGATCCATCATACATGCATACAAAAACCAAGAAATGCACTCAGGAAAAGAAAAACATGATTACAGAAGGGACAATTTTTATTTTCAAACAAACCTAAAAAACTAATGTTTTTGCCTGTTACTTCTACATATCATCTGTTTGGAGCCAAAAGGGCATTAACCCATGATACCATTAAAGATGAAGTTGAGTTCTGGTCATGCGATTGCATTGTGAAAGAAACGGTGTGGAATCGACCAGAAAAGGTTGATCATCTAGCATATAAGAATTTCTGTGTATTGCAAGGTTCTGGAATCATCCAAATGATAAGAAATTTGGCCAAGTCTTGGAAAAGTTACAAACACTGTACACAGAAAGATGTATATGGGACTACATGAACACGTGGCGTAAAAAGCCGGCCCCCCGATTTTTACGATGTTACATGCATATTTAGAATATGAAAGCATTTGAAGAGCCATGCTTTTCAGGGAACATGTCTTATCTGATGTTCTTCCACACTTGCATAATAAGAATGAGTAATGCTCACAAATAATTTTTCACCTCTTCCCAGAACTCAACCTTCTCTTTAAACAGTTACTACCCTTTTGGCTTTCAACCTGCAATATGCTCCATTAAGCCATGATCTAAGCACTTCAACGGTTTTCCTAAGTTAAAATTGAATAGTAACCTCAATAAATCAGTCAGTTGTCATTCAAGTTGCAGAGCCATTTGAAAGGTCTTTCATTGGAGCATGTACGACATATATTTGGGCAGGGACCAAAGACAAATACAACACCTATTCATGATTTTGTTATTAACAAACCTGTCAATGACATGAACTGCAGGAACTTAAAGTTTTCAGAATATCACTATTCAGACAACCTCCAATGTACAGAGCATTACAAACAAAAATCCAAAACCTAATTATATTTACATTAAATCATCTAAATGATAATTAGGGAAAACCCCACTAAAAAACAGAATTTCTCCAAAAGAAACTTCGCAGTAGCATTCATATAGAGAACAGAGCAACAAGGATATATTATCTAGAATTTCAAATCCTCATATATCTTCATAACTCATAACTCATTTAAAAAAGCTCAATGATGCACTGCAGTTGGATCTGTTTCCATGGAAACATACCTAACTGGAACATCACTCTAAATCTACCTCATATTAAATTCAAACCTTATCATGCGTGTTCTCCTTTTTATTTTATCATAGATATCTTTGAAATTTAAATTCCTTTGATATCTTTCTCTAAATGGGCCTGTCCCAACAGTCTTTTTTTTTACATTATTTGTTTACAGATAGGGGTTTGAGGCGAGGCGATGGGAGGGGAAAGGGGGGGGGGTGCAAAGTCTTCTAATGTTTGGGCAACTACCACCTCACATTAAATTTGGTCTGTTAAATTTTGTAAGTTTCTTTTTTTCAGTTACACAAGCAACATGTTCCTCTTTTCTTCTCTGCCTCAAATTCTCCACACAAGCAGCCACTTTAAAGGCATTATTCAACAATGCCAAACCTGATCTGCATGGCCCTATGTGTTATCAGCATCTGTGATATGGTGTAATAACATGGCTAGTAACTCCATGGTTATAATGAAGCCCTAAAAAAAGTGCCTTCAAAAAGTAAAATTTTTTGGGTGACCGGTTTTACCATGTTTCTCCAATAAAATGTAGTGTAATAAAAACCATTGGGAAAGTGGTTTTTGAAATTTCAAATTCCAATCATAAATATCTTGATAATCATAAGGTCGATCGGCTTGTAAACGTCATGGGATTCCTGACTACCTGAAGGTTTATACTTGATACCCAATCCTTTTAATGAGTATAGATTCAAGAATATTCATGCATGCATGTATCAATGCATTCCAATTATGAGATCTTACCTCACAAGCTTTTACATATTTTCCATTTGTTTTGTTTTGTTAGGAATTGCTTCTTTTTCCTTCTGTGTATTATTAACTGCCATTTGTGAGAGGGTTTTCAAGTAGCTCATTTCATGCTAATCTCTAGCAGACATGTTGGAGATATTTATCTTTAGGATTCTAATTATTCATGAAGAGCATGGATTTAAAAAAAAGTCATTAAAACTTCTGTTCAGATTCTGAAGATTCATTCTTTTGCACCTCATCTTTGTTGCTGTTGGTTTTTATTGCGTTTTCCATCGTTGTTGGATGATTTTCGCCTTGACATTCACCATGATTTTTGCATGTGTGTATAATGTAAAAAAATTGGTAAAGGAAATCGCTTCTCGTTCCCCTGTGAATTATCTTCTCTCTTCTCTTCTTTTCTTTTCTTTCTGTCTTGTTCTCTTTTCATTATTCTATTTATCTTTTTTTTCCTCATCCAATCTCTCATATGTATACATACATGTGTGTATGTGTAGGGGGACTCTTTGTCTCTCTTTGTCTCTCTTTGTCTCTCTCTCTCTCTCCTTTCTTTCTTTCTTTCTTTCTTTCTTTCTTTCTTTCTTTCTCTCTCTTTCTCTCTCTCTCACACTTTGAAATATAACATCAAGCCTGTGACAACCTCTCTCCCACATTTATCCATAAATGTGTTTACCTTTCCCTCATAAACCAGTCCACTTCCCTCACCACCATCAAAGAGTCCACAAAATGTTCATATACTATCCTCCTATTCTCCACATATCTTAAAACCTTCAGCACTTGTTTCGATCATCTTCTCCTATCTTATTTCATCCACACACTAACGATCTTCCATCCATCTTCATCTTCCTCTCCTATGAATCCCAAAGATACCTCAGAAAGAAACGTCCCCTACGGCACCTTACCCATGCAGGTTGCTTTACGGATGACTGAAGCACTCGTCGTGCTAATAAAATCAAGCGCGCTTCCAGGCCACATTTAACCCAAAATTTATGTAAGTTAGCTCGACTCACTTGGCAAGATGCCAAGAGATCTCAGTGGAAACAGCACCTGGGAATTCCGTTTTAACTAATTTCTTTTTAGTTGTGCCCTTGTCCCGGCTGGAATTCCCAGTTTGGACAGACATTCACAATGTTCTTTGTGGTTGGTTTTCATGCTCATGAGAATGGGACAATTTCAAGAGCACTTTTCTTAAACCTCTTTCTCATTTGGGACCATAGCAATACAAAGCCTTCTTGGAAATGTTATTGCAAACTTGATTCTAATTTCATATAATTCATGCTTTTTTATAATGGCCGGGACTGTAGATTTAAGAAATCTCAAAAGGTAAGGGAATTTACATAAAAAATATGAAATTGGGAAATAAATTAAATACATCAAGAGAAAAGATTAATCTCGGTATTCTATCATATATATGCACGGGCAATTACACAGGAAGTAGCCTTCCCAGATAATTGGCTGATTTCCAAATCAAATAAATAAAGTGCCACAAGCATTGGGATTCAGAGAGATATAAGTGATAGGGAGAATTCAAATTTATATAGATATCAATGTTGGCAGTGTTTCACAAAACACTCATAAGTAACATTTCACCGACATCCGATTGAAAAGCGTGTGTTGTATTGAACACAAACTTTAATAGGATGTCCGTGAACTCGTACTTATGACTTTTTCGTTAAATGATGCCCTGGCAGACATTGTATGGTCATTTATATGTATGCATAAAAACTTGTGGTATTCTAATTAAGACAGAATAAAAATTCATTCATCAAAAAAGCTTATTAAATTTAGAACTTACTTTGGGTTGTTTGCTGAGATAGGATCCAAGTTTCAGCATTAGGGCAAGACACTCTGGGGCCTGAAAAAATAAAGATTTGAAGGTTCATTGGTGTTTCTACAAAATGATCAATTTTCTAGGTGGATAGATCATAGAAAATGTAGCGTTTGCACTCAAAGCAGGGGAAATTCAGCATTTGAGGGAAATGAGCAATTACTTATCACTTGATGTGTTACATGGGTGAGAGTTATTATAGTATGTATCAATGTTTAAAGTCTGATGAAATCTCAAAATTGGAAATATAAGAGATGTATACAGGGCCTTTTTTATTCCATATTTGTCATGGATCAATAACCTAGTCCGCCATACATTATTTGGAGTACAAGTATATTATATATGGCCAGTGTACTGTATGTGCCAAAGGTCAAGCTTGGCACTCCTGTATCTGTTCCATTAATCAACAAAGACAAGTAAAGAGTTATAATGCAGATTCCTTTTTAAAGCCTATCTCCACTAGTTCGGCCCAGAGGGATTGGACCTCCCTGCAAGGTCACTGGCAGGTGGTTATCTCATCTAATCGGCTCTCAATTGACATAAGAAAAAGGGGACCATGGGGTATCAACGGGTACCCCTTAGGCATTGTTGATTATATAGTAGCTATAAGTAGTACAGTGGGGCTTTAAGAAAAAGAGTTTAAGTTATTTGGGTGCGAAGTGCTGGAACTCTATTTCACAAGAACTTAAACTTGAGTTCGCATATAATGAATTGAATTTCAAACGTAATCTAAATAAGTATATGAAATCAAGAGCCATAGATGAGTAATCCCTGTCCCCTATAAATATTTCATATGTCTTTTGGGTGTATGTTGTATTTATTTTGTATATATTTACCGGTATTTTATCAGTATTATATGTATTATGTTGTATATATTTTCATTTTGATATTGTATGTTTTTATGTATGCATGGCCCTACGGAAGAACAGTCCATTGGCTGAGGTAGGCCTCTTTGCTTAAATAAATAAATGAAAATGAATTGAAATAACAAAGCTTGACTGACCAGTTTCTCGATGGGCTCGGTGGTCTCGTACTCCTGGAGCCTGGAGGCCGGGAGGTTGAGCACCCTGAAGCTCCACTGGGAGAAGAGCCTGGTCGGAACGTTGCTGGAGACCACCAGGATCTTACTCTGCTCCACCAAGTGATTCTCCTGGATCAGGTCACGCAGGTCACGCACCAGGGCCATCAGCATCTCGCTTGAGGACTGATAAGTGAAAGAAAAGTTATCAATTTTAATAATAATAACAATCGAAACGGTGCTAATAAAGGGCTTACCACCGATTCGTCTCTAAGCTCTATAACAAACAAAATACAATGATAAACAATTACATATTAAAAAAACAAAAAAGTGCAAATAAACCTACAAATTACAATACATATGAAATATACAGAGTAAGTTAGGTAATCATCAAAAGCAATCTTGAATAAATGTGTCTTGAGACAAGTTTTGAATTGGTTACTAACAGTTTGCTTTCGTTCTATCAATAAGAATACTAACAGTAATACTTAACTACTATAACATACTACTATTATTACTAATGATGAAGGTGATGATGATGATGATAATGATACCGATGATAATAATGATGATGAAAATGACAAAGATGATAATGATAAAGATAATGATTTTCTTCAAATATATAGTAAGCTTATCCTTCACATTAAATATATCAATTATCAAATTTAATCAATATCATTATGATGTAGTATTTATATTAACATACCATTTTATCATTTACAATTTTTTTTTTTTTTTAATGATATTTTTCCTACTTACTGAATTTTATAATCTACTGTTTTAATGCATTAAATACAACTTTTTATTTGGTATATTTTTAATAAAACCGAAAAAATTGAATTGTTTTGATAATGATGATGATTATGATAAAGATAGATTATAATGATGATGATGATGATTATAATAATAGTAATAGTAATAATGATGATGATAATCATGCCAGTAAAGATTATAATATTAACTAGGATGAAGATGATGGTAATAATAAACGATAATGAATGTAACAATAACGCTGAAAAAAATGATAATGAAAGTTAAATACCAACAGCATTATATTCATTGTTTTCAATAACAACTGCAACTGTGACATGGAACCCTTTACAAACAGAACAAAATATTATTTTGTGATTGGTAGACCTTTAATAAGAGACACACCCACCTCGACGAGATGAACAAAGTGATTGGGGTAGACCAACAACATTCCCGTTGCCCCTTCACCTTGGAAGTGATTCTGCCAATTCTTGAACTGTTTTTCATAATGAGCTGGTGGAAAAAAAAAACAGGAAAATAAACCAAATAATAGAAAAAGTGATATTCTTAAACATGATAATTAATGAAGAAACAACTGATAAGATCATTCACATATTAAAAGCACAATGAACAATGAACAAATAAAGTCTGGAGATGCCATCAATAGACTGTTATTTCATTATGTATTACTTTTGTAAATAGATTTCAAACAAGATTGGAAACAAGGAAAACAAAATAACACATTTGCTAGCAACTGAATCATGTACTGTATGGTGTTAGTGCATCCCCTTTAAACAACTATACATGTCAGAATTAATTGAACAATATAAGTACCTTGATGTATGAGCTAGCATTTGAACTGTAAATAAACCTATTGTTTTGAACAAATTTATTTTTCCAAGAAATAGTGATGATTTGACAGAACAAAAATATTTTAATTAAGGTTATAAGAATGCCTTTTCCTACTCCGATTAATATGATTTAGGAAAATACGTAAGAATTTTTTAGTAAAGTCATTTTGAACTATGAACCATTAACGGGAGAGACTGTACTAGTTTCTTACCTCCTAAATCCCTCTTGTCCTGTAATGAATCAGTAAGTTTTGCTACATATACCAGTCTGTGAAGAAGGGATTTCTGTAAGGCAAGAAAGGAAAAAAAAAGCTTAAACAAATTAAATACTACGTGGAATCACTTCAATGAAATCTTGCTTGTACTAAAGCAAATAAAAGGCAAAGAAATCCCCCCCCCCAAAAAAAATGTAATTTCAAACTAACCAGGCTTATACTTATACAAAAAACCCACACACTTTATCACACATCGCACTACTCAATAACATGCAGTAACTTGAAAGTCCATCAAATACAATCAAATATTGAATATGAAATTCTATATAAAGTGCAATACCCGATCAGGGTCCACTTTGCGAATCTTTCCAAGTATCGAATCTAGAACACTGTGTCTGGGTCGTGTCAACACCTCTGTTGGGTCAACCCATCGGTACTGAGGCTGGGTCGTCTGCTTTCCACTGTTCTGACTCGTTGCCATGACAAACAATAACTTTGGTAGATTTGATTGGTATATAGCCTAATAAAGGTCAATCTAAATAACTATTTTTTCCACATCAGTCTTTTCCAAGTCAGCCTTTCTCCAGTCGGTCTTTTCCAAGTTGGCATTTATCCAGTTTGTCTTTTCCAAGTCAGCCTTTCTCCAGTCGGTCTTTTCCAAGTCTCCTTTTTTCAAGTTGGCATTTTCCAAGTCAGCCTTTTTCTCAATCAATCTTTTTGAATTATAAATCAAAACCAAACCGCTTCACGAAAGAACAAAAAGTCTTGCTTCCAAGCCCAAAAATATGTAAAATCAAAGATTATGATACAACTACATCAAGCTGAAGCAAGCATTCAAAGAAAATGCTAGTGGTTCCATCTCCAAGAAAACTAAGATGAAAACAGTGTACAGAATACCAAGTTCAAGCTGAGATACAGTAATATACGGTAGAATAGTATCCTGTCAAAGACTGTCCAAAAAGGGCAATATTCAGAAAAAAAGTGCTCCACAATCAGGGTAGAGTGGTAGACTTGACAAAGCAGATGATAATTTTCTGACTCATTTATATAGATATATATCTGTACATCATGTACATGCTAGGTTGATACTGGTCAATATTACTTGTACAGAGGGCTAATATTTCAAAAGCCTTCAATTAATTATTCGTATCATATAGCTCAAACGCAGGTGACATCTACAAACACATCTCCAACAGACAGCTGATTTCATCTGGTTTCCATAGCAACCATACAAACAAGACTGTTCATCCAGGAATTTCCCACGGAGATGCTAACAATGACAGTGACACCTAACTTTCCATCTTCTCCCTGTGAGGTCATGCACTAAAATATTGATTATTCTTTTCATTCCTACACTAGTACAGTATATGTACATATACCCAATCAATCAAAATGTTTTATCTTTACCTTCATGTATGTACAGTACATAAAGTGCAAACATTAGTTTGAAAGATTTTGTTCACGTGTGTAAATATTTCACAAGGAACTGTTTATTTTACTCAGCGATTGAGATGACACACTTTTTTATGTTTCATATCTCTTTCTCTAATTTTTTTTTTTTTTACACTAACGATAGAGTTGTACATTATATTATCAAAATAATAATAATAATAATATTTAATTTTCATATAGCGATTAATACAAATGTCTGTAAGCGCTTTACAAATATACTAATATAAAATATTGAACAAAGGCAGTTCAATACATGGGGAAGGGTTCTCAACTTGTGTTTTTCCCCAAGATTCAGGTTGGATCATAATGACTCGTCCTTTGACAAGGAATTATTAATGGCGTATTGATACAGGCCTGTGTCTAGGCCATCATCAGGGAGACAGGTGCAACGTAAGTGTAATTATTTCCTGAATTAGGATGGGGGGGGGGGGGTTGTCCGGAGATTTGACCAAAAAATCCACTGTCTTTTGCCATTGCCATTGAATTCACGGGAAAATATGCATCAAATGACACTATCTTTTATTTATAATATTGCTAACATACCTTCAGAAAGATTTATGGAATATTTGACGCAAAATTGTTCAAATTAGTTCTAGAGGTCTACTTTGAAATATTTGTTTGGATACACAATTAAGGCCAAGGGTAAAGTGGTGGTGGAACAGAAAATTTATGGACTTTTTTCACACATTTCTCTAGATAGTCTAGGCCTAGAATATGTAATGAAACTGCAAATAGTACGACTCATCAATAACTATTTTCATCATGATCAACAACGGGCTATAATATCAACTTTCATCTGCTGCTTTTTTGAAAATTGAGAAATTCTGGGTGCATGCTGCCATGGCCATGCATACATTTTCCTGCCAAATATGAATAAGACTAGGCTAGTCAATGGAAGTGGAAAGAAGATATGAATCTTCAACACTTGCCCAACAATATGCAAGCATCTCAATCTAACTATTGCTCACTCATCAACAGACGACACCAATTAACACTCAAATGTCAAAAAGGTAGAAATACAATACAACCGTTTTCTCTCAATAAGGCAAAGCCTTACTCTAGTCTTAGCCTAGTCTAGACGAGACTATTCCTTAATTTTTAAAGGAAAAGTCAGAGTCATCACCAAGACGTCTAGACTCTATTCATCAGTTATCAATATCATCAAGCTAATCTTTTCTTTATCTTCCTAAATGAAAGTTAATGTTAGAATTCTAGACACATCGTTGGAAATAACAATGCACCTGAGCAAGGAGCCTACCCAATTAATCAGCTGATTCAGTGATTGACCCCTCATTTTTTTCAAACATTTCCCTCCCGGAACTCAGGCGAGGAAGGTCCATTAAAATTTGCTACACGATCGTGAATAGTCGAGTCGATTTTTGTTCAACCATGTCATACATTTTCAACATGGGATAGTATCATTGCATTCCTTTTTTTATATTCTCACCTTGTTAAGGGCACGGTTTCTCTCCTCTATGACTTCGAGGAGATTTAATCTGGTATTTTCGTACATGGATTCGGGCCGTTCAGTTGCCATTTTAGCGTGTGGTTGTCAAAGCAACTTCACGTTTTCCGACACTAGCTGGCGCTAGAGCTAAGCGATTAAACGCGATATCGAGCCTGCGAGTTTCGTCTTTTCAACTTGGAACACTTTTTCTTTTTCTTTACTCAATAAGTGAAGAAAACGGTCTGTGTCAAGTTAGTCACTTTATTGTAATTTCTAAATGTTTGCCGATTTCCGGAGCACAGATTAGTCGTTTTGTTTGCGTATCAGGACAATTACCCCTGGACAATCACCCTAGCTGCGAAAGACAATTAATTTACCCCAAATTTACCCCTCCAGAACATAACATGCTAAGGACATATTCGCCCGAAGACAATGACCTGATAATTACCCCCTATAGAACAATTGCCTCCGAGGGCAATTACTCTATGACAACGCTTATAACCTATCATCATAATTTCATCATCAGTATCATCTTCATCATTGATTCATCATTGATTCATCATCATCATCATCATCATCATCATCATCATCATCATCATCATCATCATCATCATCTTTATCATCATTACCAATAAAATTCAAAAGTGGTTTATTTTTAATTCGATACCAATGATTTACATATGTTGCCGAATTGGCACGATTTTTCCCTGAGCTTCCAGGGGCTCTGCAGGGGGAGGGGGGGGGGGGGGGGCGGGTACTCACATATTAAGGCATTTGGGGTATGCCGCTCTAATGGATCACTTTTTCACACAAAAAAATCCCTAAATATGAGTCCCATTTTTAACAAAAAATATCCCTAAACATGGATCCGTTTTTTCAAAATTTCAAAATTGTGAAAAAGGGCCCTTTATTTCGAGATTCCCCCCCCCTAAATTCCTCTAAAAATGGGTAGGGGTTTCGAAGCTTCAGCTGCACATCCTGTATGTCATAATATGAGTCCGGGCTAACTCGGACCAGGGGACAATTCGGCCCAGCTGCAAAAACGGTCATTTTTTGTCATTTTACCCTAACTCGACTCTAACCCTAACTCTAACCCTAACCCTAAACCTAAACATGCAAAAACTGACCGTTTTTGTACCTGGGCCGAGTTGTCCCCTGGTCCGAGTTAGCAGGCACGTAGCCAGAGTTTGATGTTTGGGGGGGGGGGGGGCACATACATGCAATCGATCGAGGTAAAAAAAAAAGGGGTCTACAAAATTTCAACCGATCCTGGAAATTTTAGGACCCCCCCCCCCCCCCCCCCCCCCCCCCCCCCCCCCCCGTGGCTACGTGCCTGCGAGTTAGCCTGACTCCATAAGTAAGTACCCCGCCTCCCCCCCCCCCCCGGTCCGAACTTGAACCCAGAGTTTCTAGGAGCTCGATCCCCTAGAGCCCACTCCAATTAGTGACCTGCCAATGTCACTAGTAATGTATCAAAATATGCTCATTTGACCTAGTTAAATGCCTAAATCCCCTGAGCTTATTATGCCCATTGATATGAGGCTCCGCGCTTCTTGACCCCCTGCACGTACCTGCACCAATTTACGCTCCACTTGCTTGATCGCTTACTTTTATCTACCTGATCGTAAATACACCACCCACCCCCCCCCCCCCCCCTCCCCCCACTTTGAAAGACGTTCCATGTGGCCTGCATGTAACATTTCAGAGTGGTGGTGATGCAGATCAATTTTTTCTGCCGCCCCAAACGTTTTTCTCCCTCCTCCATCTCCTCCTTCTCCTTCCCCTCCTCCTCTTCCTCTAATTCACCGTTATCATTTCATCAGCATCAACAGCAGCATTATCATAAATCAATCAAGTTTATGCCACTCATCAAAATGTTGATGTTCAACTAATAAAATGGAATTACTTAAAATACATCTATCTCAAATCTCAATTGATTAGCATCATATGTACCCTTTCTACATATTTGAAATTTATTCAAGTATTTACTCCATGCAACCTACCCCCTAAACCTATGAAATAATAATTAAATAATTAATAATTAAATAATTAATAAAATCGTACGTTGCGGCTTGCTGGCGCGTATGGCGTTCCATAACTGAGTCACAGCTGAGATTGATAAACGTTTACGAGATCGAGAACTAACTGTTAGATTATAATTTCTAGTAAAAGTGAAATAATTTGATAGGTAAGTAAGATTTGAATGCTAATTAATATTCTGCAATTAAGCCAACATTTCAGCCTTCTCATGAAATGAGCCAGTGGTCATCACTTGCCTTTGAATGGGGAATAGAAGTGGAATCCCAGCGGAATATAGCTCAATGTTAGCGGAGCTGAGCCTGTTTACACGCAATGAACTTCCACAATGTGAATGAGCGGCGCGGTGCGCGGCCGCTGTGGCCGGCGGCTCATTTCACGAGATTGCCAACGTACATTTCATTCATTTTATGTGTAGACTCTAGCTCTAGTAGTCTAGATCTGTCTGTAGTGTAGATCTAGTTGTTTTGACTTTTGATTACACTGTTTGAAGTTTGTGTGATATGATGTTCTATGCAATGTCAGAGTGTTTGCTTGGATGGACCGCATGCATGCAAGAGGAGAGAAGAGAGAATGTTGGTGGTGTTAGTTGGGGGAGGCGAGTTGGCTCAGTCGGTAAAGCATCTGCCTGTCGAATCAAACATCTCGGGTTCGAATCCCACCCAGGCGGATGACTGAAGCCTGCGTTGTGTGTTAACGTGCCCCTCCCATTGTTTCATAGACACAGGCTATGTTAAGTGGAAAACACTCCGTCCCTAGAATAGGATGTTAAATGGAGGCCCTGTGTAAAAAGTACAAGACTAAGAACGACACAAACGTGCTATAAGCCTATAATAAACATTTTACCCCTTATAATTCTCTATATCTACCAGTACCGTGTATAAAGGCTGAAATGTTTGAGCAGTTTTCTTCTTTTCCAAGTCGTTTTTTTAGGTTACTGGTACGTGTAGGTTAGGTTAGGTCATTGAGTGAATAACACGATCACACTATAATACAATGCGGTCACACGATAACATACACAGGGCCAGCGTGCAGCGTGATTTCATGGCAGCAGGCTACGTATTGATACGAGTCTGTTGCCATGAACAATCACTCTTCTTTTTTAGTTCAGTCCTTTAGTATAATACATTCAACAATTCACATGAGCCTAATGATAGTAATAATAGGTACCGGTACTTACTTTCTGTTTTTTGTCTCTGTTAATAGAATTCATGTTTATTTGCTCCACTTACTTTGTGAAATTATTTCGAAATGTAGACCTATGTGAAATATGAAACAATAAAACTGAATAAACGGAATAAATTGAAAAGACGACAATATATTACGTTTCATTTTAAAGAAAGGTGCGCGGACATTATCATTAGTTCAAAGCATCATGACAATGCAGTCACTCACTGGCAACAGGCATTGACAACTGTCACTACTATTGCACTGCCATCTGCCAGCATAAGGACAGGCAACGGCAGTATTGAAACTAAAGTTATTCCTGTCTAACTAGGTCTGAATAGATTTTCCTAAACTAAAGTTTTAGTTTATGTGTTACTTCCTTTCCTATGTCATTGCCATAGTCTTCAATGAGTGGGAAACAAAATCTTCTTTTCTACCATTGTCTGTACGTCTACCAACTAATTTGATTTTTTTTTAAATTGAAAATTTACTGTATCTTTAGTAAGTTTAGTGCACTTAGGTTACCATAACTGTATCCCATGTGATCAATCGTCTGGTTATAATAAACCATGTACATTTAGATCTACTGCACCTGATGTTGATCTTGTATTTCTCTTTTTTCTTTCTTTTTTCATGATACAGATGATGACACTTGACCAACCATGGCGTATCTGGGGAAAGTGAAACCAGTGGATTTTGTGAAAGCAAAGAAAAAGAACTTGGAATCTCTGCAAGCAAGGAGGTCATATGATCAAGAAATCAAAGGAAAGCAGGAAATTGCGGGAAAGGAAGCAAGGGAATTTTATGAGAGTCTTATTGCTGAATCTCCATCAAGTCAGAAGAAGTCATCTGATAGTACATTAGAGGATGATGGTGATCGTTACTGCCAAAAGAAACCTGAAACCGGGAATAAACGAGTGAAATATAAATCATCCAAATCAAAGCTGCCTGCTTCTGATTCTCCCGGGACTAACAGCTTGACAAATTCAGTGCATAAACCCAGAAGTGAACAAGGCATTCACCTGTTACTTAGGCTCTGCCAAGAGGGAAATCTTGGCGAAATCAGGAAAATTGTCAAAGAAGGGAACAGCAACTTGGACGATGCTGATCGGTTTGGGTGGAATGCACTGATGTGTGCTGCGTACAGTGGCCATGTAGATGTGGTGAAGTACCTTGGAAGAAAACATCCTGCAGGGCTGACACACAGGAACAAGCAGGGGCAGACTGTTCTAGAGTTGGCACAAAGAGCAGGCCACGATGACGTTGTGGAATCGCTAGAGCAGATGGAGAGGAAAGAGCATCGTTTTGATCGTCGAACTAGGAATATTGAGGGTTATTCTCAAAGTAGGCAACCTGTCTGGTGCGAGAAGTGTGAGTCTGAGTTTAAGGACGAGATACGGACCCATCGGCACTCCACCGCTCATCTGTTCAGCTGCGGCCATGGCCCTCGGCCGACCCACTACCACCTCCCGGAATCCAACCGTGGTTTTCAGATGATGCTTCACGAAGGTTGGGACAAGGAGAAGGGGCTTGGAAAGGAAGGTGAAGGACAAAAGTTCCCGGTCAAGACGATCTTGAAGAGAGATCGCGAAGGTTTGGGCTCGGCAGACAGTGATGTGAGGCCCAGAATTACACATTTTAAACCCTTTGATACCGATGCTGTGAAAAGACCAAAGAAAGAAAAGAACGAAAGAAAGAAAGCCGTTGCTGTAGAGGATACAAATAGAACCAGATACTCCAAGAGCCATAGACATAAAGCTATGGAAATTGACTTTAGGATGTCATTTCATACACAACCGTAAAGCGTATAAGTTTATTACAGATTATGACAAGCTACAGGACATTGGATGAAAAAGTTCCCTTGCAAAACAATGATTTCTTCCCTCACTGTAGTTTCTTTTCATCAACTTGCTTTTAGAAAATGTGATTTATCCAATAATAATCACACATTGAACAAGTGCACTTTTTTTCTTTCTTCAAATTCATAAGATCAGTAATCACAGATCACTGGAATGTTTAAAAAGATTTATGTGATAGTCTCTGATAAAGGTTCTGACTTTCTGGCAGGTATTATTATTTAGTATTTTATATTTTGAGACACTGTTCATATAAACATATACCGATAGTTAAATGTATATAAAGACCGCTCAAGGGAGACGAGAAAAAAAGTCTGTAAGAGCAGGTGGTCTTTATGTACAGGTTCATTTAGTACATTTTTTTGATGGGAAACTACATTTATTTTTCAAGGGAAACAGAAAATGTGGTCTTTCTAGGCAGGTGGTCTCTCTATTCAGATGGTCGCTAAAACAGGTTATATTGTATATGATATATCTTTGTAATTTATCAAAAATGAATAGACTACCTTGAAAAATATTTTGCTAGAATTCTTATTATTTCTCATTCACCCATGATGAGGTAGAAAGCAACCCATGTGCTCTGGAATATATGCATTGTCACTAAATACCTCCTTGATGTAAAATGTTGCTAAAATTAAGATTTTCAGATTAGGTCTTGTTAAAATGTTATATAATAATCAAAATAATGTAGAATTTAGGGGAACAGTGTATTGAAAGTAGAAAACAGATTAATTTAAGAGGATGGATATACAACACTTATCTTTTTTCCTATAATGTTCAATGCCAATGAATTAAAAACATTTCATATGAAATTTGGTTAATTAATGCCCTAATTTTCACTGTACCATGACAAACACTGTGGCATCATATATCAAACAGCACCCTCTTTCAATGTTTTTCCATGGCAATGCAAGGGCATGTTGGACATACATGTAGTGGAGCTCTTTTCCTTGGGTGTGAGGCGTTATTTTTTTCTATAAAAAGTGTCTAAATATGCTGATTTGAATGCTGGTACAGAAATGGATGTATTTGGATCTATTTATGTGCACTGTCCATGCTAGAATACCAACCAACATTTTTATCATGTTCTTAGCTCACCTTTGAGACATGGAAAAGCAAGAATATGTGCTTGTCAGCCCGAAAATATATATATATATATATATATATATATATATAAAATAGAAATTATTTATTATCTTTATATCATTCATACAAAAGAACCTGACAGAAGCTGATTGCTTGAGGTATTTGGTATATTATGATATATTTTGACTGTCTATGTTGTAAAAATGATGAAGTATTTGTACTTTTTACATGAATAAAGATAAATAAATAACTGCTGGTGACTGGGTTACAGATAGTGGTAAGATTTGATATCTTAAAAACATGAAACATTTTATTGGTTGATTGATTGACTGATTGTCAGATGGATTGATTGACTTATTGAATCTGAAGTGACTTGTTCATTGACTATCCGATTTACTACCTGATTTCCTGACTAACTGATAAAAGAAGTAATTGCTTGATTATTGATTGATGGATGGATTAACTGACTGACTGACTGATTAAGTAACTGATTGATTAATTTATTGACTGACAGATTGATTAATTTATCAATTGACTAACTAATTGAGTGTTTGACTGATTGATTAATGGATGGATTAACTGACTGACTGACTGATTAAGTAACTGATTGATTGATTGACTGACAGATTGATTAATTTATCAATTGACTGACTAATTGAATGTTTGTTTGACTGTTTGATTGATGGATGGATTAACTGACTGACTGACTGATTAAGTAACTGATTGATTGACTGACAGATTGATTAATTTATCAATTGACTGACTAATTGAATGTTTGTTTGACTGATTGATTGATGGATGGATTAACTGACTGACTGACTAAGTAACTGATTGATTGATTGATTGACTGACAGATTGATTAATTTATCAATTGACTGTCTAATTGAATGTTTGTTTGACTGATTGATTGATGGATGGATTAACTGACTGACTGACTAAGTAACTGATTGATTGATTGATTGATTGACAGATTGATTAATTTATTAATTGACTGTCTAATTGAATGTTTGACTGATTGATTGACTGTTGTTTTTTTTTTTTTTTTTTTACCTGACTGCTAAGAAAGCATAAATGCGCTGTTTGGTTGATTGATTGATTGACTGACTGGTCAATTCCTTTAATGATTGGGCTGACTGATTGATTTGGATCTGCAATGACCGATTTAATACCCAAATCCTAATTGCATAAGCAACTTTGGCGCAAGTCGATTTTCGCTCTCTCGCAAACATTGCCTCCTGTTCATCCAAACGTGAACACATACCACACAAAAATGATACCAAATGATTCAGGATAAAACAGTCTTTTATAGGATGTATAATAATTTACCGTTCATAGATGATTTTTTTTAATAATTAGCAATTTTCTAGGTGTAAACTTTTTTTTGACTCGCACTGTAAATAACCATGATTTCCAACAAGAAATTTCTTGGCATGTACATGGAAGAACTAAAGAAACAACGCATTAAGATGTGAATCAAACAAAAGACCAATTGGATACAGAACATGAATGAACGGGGGGGGGGGGGGGGGGGGGGTAAGAGGACATTTTTTTGTTTTTTTTGGTCCCAAAAATTTCGCAATAACTTAGCCAGCCGCTGAATAAATGGGGGGGGGGGGGGTAAGGTCAGCTTTTTTGGGTCAACCATTATCACAATTTTTTTCCTTCTTTTTCTTATTAATAAATAAAAAGGGAGGGGGTTTCCTCCAAAACACACACATAAAAAAGTTAACGGGGGGGTTCAACCCCCCCCCCCCCCCCCCTCCCCCTGCGTACGCGCCTGAGTACAGTGTAGATTTAAGTTTATTTAGGACATGACAAATTCACTTCTCAGAAACCCGTGACGTGACATAGTTGACGTTTTCGCAATTCGCAATTCGCAAACCAAACTTATCACGCCCGCCGGCGCCCTCTCTCGGTTTTAACCGCAACAGTTGATTTGTACAGATTCTAGAGACGAACATAGGTCTACTTCTTCATCATGGCTGGCTCAGGTTTGTAAAATCCTCAATAACATGTGTTTCCGCATTATATTATGTATTTTGATTATGGGAAGAGTGATGTGATTATTGATCCTTGTTTTGAATGTGGTATTAATGTAATAATATGTTCACCATACGATGAATTTGACCAGCGAACTTGTCTCTAACTGTGCTGAACTCCGCCCGGCTCGGGTCGGGGACTGGCTGAAGAGCTGCGGGGCCGGGGTGTGTGTGCTAGCAACCGTACAGATTGTTATCTAATGTATGTTTGACTCTTAGGCCTAAAAGATTTGAATTGAAATTTAAGAAGAGATGTTATGGGCAATAATATGGCATTCTCATTGAAGGAAGCCACCACATTTTTTTAGTCGTACTCTGCAGCCGATCGAGCTCTGAGTCTTCTGAGTGAATGCATTCAATCATGATTCAGTTGATTTCGTGGAATGTTGCACTTGCAGTACATGTATCTCAATGGGTTTTACACATCCGTGTATATAATGAGGGGGGAGGGGGTAGATTGAATCTTAAAACATGGCTGGGAGTGGTCCCTTGTCAGGCTTGTGCAATTGTGTTAATGCGACCATAATCATGATGTTTTATCATGTAGCGGTAGGTAGTTTTTATAAACGGTCGTTTTAGCGGTTGTATTCATCACACTCCAACTGTACATGTAAGTTGACAATGGTAGCTAAATTTGAATGGTAAGAGAGGCTACAAAACCCTGGTTGCGTCGGTACGTACTGTGTAAATATTTTCACGTTTTATGAAACTTTATCAGCTGTTTTCTGTCAAAGATTTTTTTTTTAAATTCAGCCTAATCAGATATCTTTTAGAATTCAGTTGATTGGATCGTTATCAAAACATTTTTTTATTTTATTCGGCCTACTCAGATATCTTTTGGAATTCAGTTGATTGGATCGTTATCAGTTGATTGGATGGCTGTAAGGATCAGGATGACCTTGATCCAGTTGAATTTAAGCTTCTTTCATACTTTGGTCATGCACTATTGCTCATGCAAAAACCTGTGCTCACTTGAAGTGTAAATCTATTGATTATTTTTGGGGGAAGTTGCTCCAGAACATTGATTAGTGTGGATAAACATGTACATGTTAGAGAGATTGTTAATTGTAAAGAATAAGTGCGAAACAAAATATAAATCTCTTTAAAAATATGGACAAGGAGTGGAAGCAAAGTGATATATAATGGAAATGATATTGCTGCCAACAGCCTCAAAAATCCATGTGAATGTGGAACACTATAGCAAAGAGAGATCACTGGTGTCAGCTTTGGCAGCATCTCTGGTCTCTCCACTCTAAGATGATGCTGCACAATTTTTAAATGTATACATTTTATTTTCTGATTTCAGCAATTACATTCCAAAGATCAACTGGGCAGGAAGTTTATGTCTGTTTTTCTGTCTGTATTTCTGTCTAACCAAAGCTCTCTTTGGTGATTTATCTCTCTCTACCCCTGCCCTGCTGATTAACCATGTTAGTTTTCTAATGCTTTTATATTTAGCAGTTTGCAAAATACATGTAACTCCAGATTGAACCCTCATCATGCTGGGAATTTTTTTGGTGCTCATAGTATAGAAATTAAAAAGGGTTAAATCACAAAAGTTGGCTAATATTAGAATGCAAATTTCACACCCCATATTTTGTTGATATGGCATGATATGGACTCGTTTGTGAGCTGTAGTCTTGAGGAGTGTCTGTGCCTAATAATTTCTTCCAACCTGCATTGTAGGCCTACATGAGCACTCTAGGAAGGATTCCAAACCCATATTCACTCATTGCCCTATCGCCGGTGGTAACTGGGTAGTCGCTGTGTTCAGCCCATGGGAGTTTAGAGAATTCAGTAGTGACCAGGGAGTGTTTCACAAAGACCAAGATCTACTTTAAGTTGGACTTAACTACATGTACAGGTGTATGTCAGGCCATTCATGCCACTGGTTGCTCTCACCATTATGATCTTTAGATAATATTCTTTCCTTCAATGATGAACTCTCCAAAAATGTTAATTCTCTAGATTTGTGACCATGATTTGTACGTCCCTTGAGAGACCAATGCCAGTAAATGGTGAGAGCAAACAGTGGCATGATCAGCCTGCCATAGTTAAGTCCAACTTAAAGTCGATCTTAGTCTTTGTGAAACACCCCCAGGTTGATAAAATGTGACAGACATGTTATTGATAAAATATGAGATGTAAACCTAAATGCTATGCGTGGTGTGCTGTATGATCTCCATGTCCGGATACTACTGTAGTCCCCATAGATACAGTGTAACATCATACCCCCCCGTATTTACATGTATGTGTTGCCAATTTGCCGTTGAGTCATATTTGGTACTGATCTCGCTCTTTTATAGACTCCGGGAAAACTACCCAAGAGGGGAGTGGTAACAAAAGTGGTAAGAACATTCTTACTTCAAAGAGTTCTTTTTCCTCATATACATGTAGCTGGGCTATATTTGTTCAAATTCATTACTTTCTTTTGCTCTTTGTTGTTTAAAGGTAAAGACCAGTTATGGTCATGCGATTGCATTGTGAAAGAAACGTTGTGGAATCGATCAGAAAAGGTTGATCATCTAGCATCTGCAAGGTTCTGGAATCATCAAAATAATAAGAAATTTGGCCCATTCTTCATAAAGTTACAAGCACTATACACAGAAAGATGTATATGGGACTACCCTATATCTCTCACAGACCATGAGAGAAACAAATTTACCAAATATATGAATTAGTAGGCGGTTTCCCGGCAATTTTTTATCATCATGTATTAGTCAAAACATATTCTTTCACATGATTGGTAATGAGAGCTTCCATTTCATTTTTTGAAATTGGGGCGTTACCAAAACTGGTCTTTACCTTTAATCATCATCATTTTAGAACTTCTTGTTCACTTCTTGTTCAGGTTGGATAACTTTTAATGGTATTGATCATTTGTAGATTTGAGGGTAGCCTAGGCAAAATTTCTTGTAATTTTTGGGGGGTTAGAAAAGAATCCACCTATTTGAAATCATGCATGCATAATTCTTTTTGGGTGGTTGGAGTTTTCCATGGCTGCATAAGAGCATAGAGTTTGATGTTGAATTCAAATGTGTATAGAGATTTTTCAGTAGCGTACATGTAAATTGAAACAGTATTTCCTTTAATATCTGATCTTTCATGAAACTTTATAATTATTTGCTTAAAAAATTATATCATTATTTTAATAGAGAGAGAGAGAGAGAGAGAGAGAATGGAGAATGTATGTCGTACTAAATGTGCATTTCAAATATATCAAACATCAATATCATCACTGCAAATAATGGACGTTAGTCGATTTCTGTGCGTTTGTCTATGTATGGGGGAGGAATGGTAACAGGAATACAAAAAGTTCAAGAGGAACACAGTTTTGCACAATTTTCCTATGTTGCCTTTGCAGTTCATAATTTAGCGACAGATTAGAAGGGAAAGCCTGAACAGAATAGACTTTGTGAAGTACTCATGCATCAGGGGAAAAAATATTTAAAAAATTGGGGGGGGGGGGGCTACTTTTCAAGCTTACTTGCATTAAGATTACACTTTTTAATTTGTTTTGCATTGAACTCTATGCAAAAAAAAAATTGGGGTTCTTCTATGACTTTCGGGGGGGGGGGGGCATTTGGGGGGCTAATTTGCCCCGAGCCCCATGTATTTTTTTCCCTGTCATGCATCATATAGAATGTCATTGTATGAGATGAAATATCGTCATGCTCTTCCTGAAAAGCACAATTTTCACATGCTTAAATCTGTGTGATGCTCTGATATGATCATATATAGAAAATCAGCTTCAAACACTAAGAATAGAATATAAATTTTGAATGTCAATGCTCACAAATGTGCAAAGGACGAAAGCAATTGCTTCTATCAGTTTGACAAACATACAGTACGTGGGCAATGTAGACCTACAAAGCAAATGATGTTTTTTTTAAGTGAGATATAATAATTTCATTTTCATGTAAAATTTCTGTAGTACAGCGGCATAGCTCCAAAATTTGGCTGAATTGAGCACTTTTTCTCTAGAGGCACCAAACTTGGCACAGTTGTGCAATGAGACGTGAAATGTACATACTGAACAATAAAGGAAACCTAGGAATCACAATGATTGTATCCTATTGTGCATTGAATGATGCAAAATTATTACCCATTTTTATTAAAGCTCAACCATTTAATATTAACACATTTCAAGAAGTAGTGTGTACTCATTTGTATGTTTGCCACACCTTTCTCAACAATTATGCTTTGCCATAGGACATGTACACGTAGTCACTTCCTTTTGACTACTGTATGTAGCCACATGTTGCATCAAGAAATTGGATCACATTTCAATTTGAGCAACTTTGTTAATAAAACCCTTTTGAAATACACAACGTCAGCTGAGTGCCAAAAGGATGTTACAACTTACATCTAATACTTTGAAGAAAAAATAGGAAAGAAAAAGATTGTAACACCCTTCTGGCTCTCAACAGACTTGATGATTGATTGTAAGCAGTCAGTCATTAACTTTAGCATTCTAAACTAAATACAGCTGTTGTATCTTCAAATCTATTGATCCTACTGTAGTCCGGTTAATTTTAGTGCAAACGTTGCAAAATATTTAAAAGGCTAGCTAAATGTTGGCATTGATATCAATTATTGTAATTAACAATTCATAAATAAGGTAGTGAAACCATGTGGGGACAGAGGAACTACACAGGTTTATTCTGTATAATGTACAATCCATCCAATTTTATAGGTACTTCCCCTCCATCTACTATTACAATGGGTTGGTCAACTTAGACTGTTGACTTAGTAAATGTTTAGCCTTTTACATCATGTGTCTTCTGTAGAATCCTGTTAATGTCTCACTTGTAGTATTTAAAGTAAACTGTTCTTCATGTTTATTCTCCTTCATAGTTATGTTAATGTCCAATTTCTTGGTAAACTGCTATTCACATTTGACAAGGAAGCAAATACAGTTTCAAAGAAGCATGTTCCATATTTGCCCATGCAATAATCTGTTCATCATGTATGTTCATGTTATGTTGTATACCTTTAATTTGGTAAACGTGCATATATACAGGTACCATATGTTCATTTTGGTTTTTTAAAAACAAATCAACACTTACATGTACAGTAAATACAGTTTCACACACTACACTATTTTGACATTAAAAACACTGGAAAGGGGTAGAAAAATCTTAGTAAACTATGGTGGGAACAACATCGTGCAAGTTTGGTGTGCAAATTTGTTACTCAAACACATCCTGTTTTTTTTTCTTCTCCATTTTGTGTTTGTTTTACGAGATTTTTTAGTTCTTGCTGTGTTTAGTTTAATTTGTTGCTTGTTTTTTATCATTGTTTTTGTTGTTGTTGCAATGCTTGACTACTTGATATCAATCACTAATAAGTTGCGATTAATATCAACACTTTATCAAGAGAGAGCCCTGGCCCCTGTTTCATAAAACTTGATATCAATAACAAGTTACAAGCTACTGTTATTAGCTACTGAAATCATGTCATCTGATTGGCTGAGATCAAATTTGTCATAGAAATTCAGCAGTTGTAACTTGTTATAGATAACAAGTTTTATGAAACAGGCCCCTGGTATCAGTTCTTATAGGTACAAGTAGGCCTTTACAAATACATATACAGACTACTGTTCTGTACTTCCTTTTCCCTTCACTTCCGGGTCACCATGAGGTCATTATCATACAAAGTGATGTACATGTGCAATGTTTATTCTGCACCTCTTTTTTTTTTTTGGGGGGGGGGGGGGGGGGGGAAGAGACATCTACATGTATATTGTAGTAGAACTAAATGCTGCTGTTTGATATGTACCGGGTATGCCCTAAGCTGCACGTTGCGCACGCAGTACATGTACACATGTGGATGATGTACATATTTGCATGGATGATGTATATATTTGCAAAAGCCATTTGCAGAAGACATTTGCAGAAGCCAATGTCATAACATCTTTTAAGATGAGAAGCTTTTAGTACATTTTCATAAAACAATAATCTATTATCTGGGAATAGTCGTAAGCTATAGTCGTAACCTATATTACCTATAAATGTTCTACAGTGTACTGTAGGTTGTACAAATGCAATATAGCACAACCTACATGTATTTCAGCAGCTCCCTAATGCACGCTGCCAGGTACATAATTTTTCAAGAAATGCTCAGATATTTCGCCCACCGTTTAAGCATGTTGGCATTCAGCAAATATAATCTACATCCCTCACTCACCCTTGTGATGCTAACACGTTTGGAACAAGTCGGAGACTATATTCATAGCAGTGCACGTTTTACTCGCACAGACTATGCAATGAAATATTGTAAGGTAAATATTTGTCAGAAGTACTACAAACATCTCTTTTTATTTCCTGTCAAGTGTACATGTAGTTGATGCCCCAAATCTGTGAGTGGTTGAGATTACCTTTAATTCATCCACTGGATCCTGCAAATAAGAATACAGGTCAGCAGACTTGACCTCAAGCCTTCCCAAGATGCATTTGCACAACAATCTTTTTTAAAATGTGTATTTTATGACACTTTCTGTAGTATGTGTGATGAATTGCAAAATGTGTTCAGGTCCTTCAATGTCATGTTCCCTTTTGCCTAAACCATTTCCAAGTCTGATTGCTCTGAAATACAATATCTTCCTAAGCCACATTTTCTCAGAATTCCATATGTTTGAGAAACGACCCTTTTCATTTTACTGTCTGTTTCCATAGCAACAATACATGTCTTTTGAAAGTTTGCAAAATATTTTCCTTCCATGTGACCCATGTTTGAGATATCTCAGTATCACTATCAGAGTTGGATGACAGCCAAGACACATTCCCTGATATGACAACATTCATAGAGTGTACATCATGTACCTACAGTAGTTGATATGAATTGCTGTTGATAGTCAAATTGAAACCCAGGTCCCTCTCAAAGGCATTGTTTAACAATGTTAAATCTGAGATACATGGCCCTACGTGTTATCCATGTCTGTGATATGATGTAATATTGAAGCCCTAAACAAATTGTGATTCAAAATGATCATGAAGTGCCTCACAAAAGTGGAAATCTGTGAGTGACCGATTTTATCATACTCATTTTCCCCAATAGATTGTAGCGTTATAAAAGCTGTTAGGAAAACAGAAAATTTGATTTCGATTTCCAATCATAAATATCTTGATAATCAGACAGGCATAGGGTTCCTGGCAGACCTAAAAGTTTATGATTATCATTGCAGCATGAGCTAAATTCAGGATTTTGTTTCGGAATCTGAGACAATGTTACCGAGTCACTTTAAAAGACCTCTAGATGGTAAAAATATTGACTAATGAGAATTAATGAGCTAGCCCTCAACCTGATCAAACTTGATTTTCCATGCAGTAAATAACCTATGGCACGA